TTTTTTGAGACAGGGTTTCACTGTAGCTTTGGAGCCTGTCTTGGAACTAGCTCTTGTAGACCAGGCTAGCCTTGAATTCACAGAGATCCACCTACCTCTGCCTCCCGAGAGCTGGGATTAAAGGCATGCACCACCACCACCCAGCTTAAGGCTGCAATATCTTTAATAAAAGCACCCAACACCAAAAAAGAGTAAAAATACAAATGATATACCACAGAGTATACGTTCATATGGCCTTGCAATTGTAGTCTACATAAGGTGAGGGTTTTATAAAACTATGATGTTTAATCTTGGTTGTCAACTTAACTGGACCTGGAGTCAGCTGAAAGACAGATGATGGGGCAAACCTTGAAAGGTTATCCGAAGTGGGAAGATGTACCCTCAATGTGGACAACACCTTCTGATAAAAGGAGGTCTAAGTAGCTTAGTCTTTTGCCTGCTGATCTTCACTCTCACCGGCAAGGTCACATACTCTGCTGCTGCTGCTCCTGCTTTTACTGCCCTCCTTCCCTGAGTCCAGAACCCAGCTTCTTTGAACTTCCAACATCAACTAAAGACCAGTGGCTCTCCAGGAATCCTCCAGACTTTTGAAGCCAGACTGGAACTGTTGAAGCATCCAGCCTCAAGGACTGAGCAGCTACTGGATTTCTTGGACTTTCAGGTGTAAGGCAGCCATTTTTGGATGGTCCATGCTGTATCTTGTAAGCCAGTTTAGTAAACCCTCTCTTAATAAGCATTCGCTCTGTAGGTTCTGCTCCTCTAAGGAACCTTGACTAAGACACCACTCATAAAGAAGGATGCTTTATTGGGACTCAGGATGTAGCCTCAAGGGGCACAACACACGTGTTCGCACGCACACGCACGCACAGTGTGTGCAGGTCAGAAGACAGCCTTGGAGAGCCAGCTCTCTCCTTCCATTACGAGTTCTAGAGATCTGCCCCAGGTTGTCAGGTCAGGCTGGCCACTGCTTTTCCCCGTTGGGTCCTCTGGTCTTCTAGTTCTAGAAATGCCAATGCTGTGCAAACAGCTGCTAGAGTGCATTTGTTAGGGAATAATGACAAGGACTTAATAGCTTTCTTGTTGGGCACTGGCTAACTTTACAGATTCAAAACCTGTGAGCTGAGAGACAGCTGGATTCGCCTGTATTCATCCTGAAACTTACTAACCAAGTCTGTCTCTGCTACTTCGCAAACCCAGAGAGTGACCAGGAGTTGGTCTGTAGGCTTAGAATCTTTCATTCCCTTAGGCCCTCCCCAAATCAAAAGGTGACATCAATTTCCCCATTTTTAAAGCCAGAGCAGGCCCTGAGACAGCCTCATGGCACCAGGGTTTGATGAATATTGGCTACACAACTTTGGGGTTTAGACTATCAAATCATGCGGGGCCGCTTTGTTGTCTTGTGATGCTGACTCTAGGCTGGCAGTCAGCAAGTTGGAAGGAAATAGGGGGCCCTGTGGGAAGCTCACGTAGACAGGGTCTGAGCTCCGTGGGCCACAGCCCTAACTGAGCTCTCAAGTCATTGGCCGGCCATATACATGAACTATCTTGAAAAATGAAGCCTTTGGCCCTCGGCTGACTCATCCCTGTTGATGCCCCGCGAAGTACCTATGACCGCCGAGTCATGAGAAATAGCTGAAATACTCTCCAGAAATAAGTCATTGGTGCTAGAAATTTAACTCTGTGTGGAGTGCTTGCCTATGTAAGCAAGGCTAAGGGTTTGCTCCCCAGGGATGCAAAATGAGATAAAATTCATAGAAATAATTGAATCAAAAATAAAAGAAGGAAAAGGAGAAGGAGGGAAAGGAGGAAGAGAGGAGCAAAAGTTGTTTGCATGGCTCAGCCTCTTCCAGACCGGGATCTGACACTGCATTCATGCTCCACTTAGACAATTCTGAGAGAAAAAAAAATGTCTTGTTTGGAACAAGGTTAATTTGGGTCTGTTGTAGCCCAAGCTGGCCTTAAACTCTATGTGTAGCTGAGAATGGCCTCAAAATCCCGATCCTCCCTCCAGCCTCCATCTCCCAAGGGCTGAGATTACAGGGGCCGTACACCACTGCTCTCAATTGAGAAGAGTGACTTCGTCTCTGGGCAACGGTCACCGTGTGCATGCCTGTAAAGTAAGACAGCTAAGATGCCCCGAGGATATGTACTCTAAGGGCACAGTCTGTAAAATCATCTGTGGGCCATGTTTATTGAACAGCACTTTTCCATCACTCCCTTCCTCTGGCAGCTAGTCATGTCAGTAATGGAGAATTGTTATTAGTTGCCTATGGGGCTCATCACTCCCCCACCGGCGTGCTTTACCCAGCTAAGTGGCTTAGCAAGAGTGAACTCTGTAACTCATTTTGTAGGCTGGGAGGCTTTAGGAAAAACAGTCGTCACTGGAACACCAGGGCCCGGAGCCATGAGGCTGAGAAAAATAACTGGAGGAAATGCTATTCACTAGAGGTTGCCGAGAACTCGAGTCACGGAGCGCTAGTTGTCACAGGTCGGGGAGACAACTGGTCAGTAAAGTGATTGATGCACAAGTCTGGGCCCCGGAGTCCAGTACCCAGAACCCATATAAAAGCCTGGGCAAGCCGGGCTGTGGTGGTGCACACCTTTAATCCCAGCACTTGAGAGGCAGAGGCCAGCGGATCTCTGAGTTTGAGGCCAGCGTGGTCTCCAAGAACAAGTCCCAGGACAAGCTTCAAAGACAGCCAGGGCTACAAAGAGGAACCCTGTCCCAAGAAACTCCGTCTTGAAACAAAACAAAACAAAACCCTGACATGATGGCAAAGCACTGTAATCCCAAAGCTGGGGAGGCTGAGACAGGCAGATCTTTAAGGCTCACTGGCAAGTCAGCCTAGTGCGATTGGCCAGCCCAGGACCTAATGAGATAGCCTGCCTCAAAAAAACAAGGAGAGTATTGGGATATGGGTCCGTAGATAAGGCCCTTACTGTGGAAGCATGAGGATTCTGAGCTCCTGCTGGGAGGTGGGAGGCAGAGACGGGAGAACTCTCTAGCATGGAGACAAGCTGGCCTGATTTACAAAGCACAGAACAATGCTGGTCCCAAAGTAATGAGTTATCTCAGCTGATTTATTGTTCAGTCAGTTACAGATTAGCAAAGCGTGGAACAAGGTAGAAAGCAGGGCCCCACACCTGAAGCTATTCTCTGACCTCTAACATGTGTGTCATGGCATGTGCCTGTACTCATACGGGTACACAAGTATAGACATAGAGATGAAAGAGAGGGAGAAAAGAGGGAAGGGAGGAAGGGAGGGAGGGAGGGAGGGAGGGAAGGAGGGAGGGAGGGAAGGAGGGATGACCATAATAGGTCTTTCTTTGGACTGCCAGCTCCAAAATATGGAGACTTTATTAATTATGAAAGTTTGACCTTAGCTTAGGCTTGTTCGCAACTAGCTCTTAAAACTTAAATTAATCCAGTCAATTTATGTTCTGCCACATGGCTCATTACCACCTCTCAATACCATACATCCAACTTCCTCTGTGTATGGTTGGTGAATCTCCTGCCTCCAATTCTTTTCTTTTCCAGAAGTCCTGCCTATCCTTTCCTGCCTAGCTATTGGCCATTCAGCTCTAGTAAACCAATCAGCAGGTACCTTAGGCAGCTGAGGTAAAAATAGAGACACATTTCACACAGTATACAAAAAGATTATCCCAACAGTTGACAGCTCCTAAAGAATGACACCTGGGGTTGACCTCTGACCTACACACACACACACACACACACACACACACACACACCCCAAAGAGATAACAAAGAAATCAGGGCCTAAAGAGATGTCTTTTTAGTTGATCTTCCAGAGGACCCAGCTTCAATTCAACCACAAGGCGGCACATAACAATCTGTAATTCCAGTCCTAGGTGATCTGATGCCTTCTTCTGGCTTCTGTGTGTATTAGGCATGTACGTGGTGCACAAACATGCAGGCAAAACTCACTCATACACATAAAATAAAATAGTTTACAAAAAAAGAAATCAAAGATGGTACTCTTAACATGACCATGTATAGCTCTCAGAAACAACTATATTTCCTTTTTAAACTTTCTTAATATTACATTTACTATGTTTGTGTATATGTGTACATGTGTGTGATATTGAGGTGAACACAAATACACACATGTGCATGATGTTAGGGCTCAAACCAGGAAAAATGGCTAACTGATGTACGCATTTAACATATCAAAGTGAACCTGGTCAGCCACCAGGCTCTCCCAACATCCCTCAGTCCCTACCTGTTACAAGGTATGACTGGCATGCCCCGCCTCCTGCTCTCAACTTTTCCAGCCCAAAGGCTGGGCTGCCCTTCCCTATATAATTCAACCATATTGGTTACCCTATTCTGTTTTATCTACCCTTTACTCTCTTGACTTTCCCCTCCCCCTTCTCCTCATGTGGGCCCGCTTAGGGTCATGTTCATGCTGGACTCTCCCAGATGTCCCTGCCTGTGGCTATACTTTCCCTTTTATCCACAAGAAATCCTCCCCTCCACCACACCCAGGAGCAGTCCTGGCCTTCTTTTTTATGTTATTTTTTCCATTCACATACCACAGCTCCAGTGGGGAAGTCAGAAGACAGCTTGCAGAAAGCTGGGGTTCTCTTCTCCCACCATGTGAGTCCCAGGGATTGAACTCAAGCCGCCAGGCATTAGCAGCAGACGCCTTCATCACCGAGTCCTCTCACCCGCCTCCTTCACCTTCACAACCCGAAACTTCGTCAGCATTTCTCTCTTTCACTGAGCTGGCGCTTAAAGAATCTGAGTCAGGGGGGCTGGAGAGATGGCTCAGAGGTTGAGAGCACTGACTGCTCTTCCAGAGGTCCTGAGTTCAATTCCCAGCAACCACATGGTGGCTCACAACCATCTGTAATGAGATCTGGTGCCCTCTTCTGGTCTGCAGCATATATGTAGGGAAAATGCTGTTCACATAATTAATAAATAAATCTTTAAAAAAAAAAAAAGAATCTGAGTCAGTTATTTTAAGAAGTATCCCCTACCTGTTCCAGCCCAGTGGTTCCTCATGCCTTGATTGAGTTTGAGGTCCCCTGGGAGGAGATAAACACTGAGGTGAGTACACAGTCTCTTCTTGAGGCATCTTAACTGGAGGGGCCCCATCAGTCAGCCCCCCGCCCCGAGGGTTGAGGTTAGCTGAACACCTGATCCACATGTTATCTGGTTTCTCCACTAAATAGCTATAATTTTCTCCTTGCAAATGGCAAGCTGTCCTCTGAGACACCTCAGGGCTGAGGAAATATCCTGTCCCTTAGCAGACATTATCTCTAAATATTTAGCGATCACTGCTTCCTGCCCAAACTTTTTTTTTAACTGTTAAGACTGTAAAGCAGTATTCCAATCTATTCCTCCTTCCACTTATCCCGCATCTCCTCCCTCTCTCCCCTCTGTTTAATCAGTTCACCTATCAGTATGAAATGGATGGGTTTCTCGTGTGCGTGTGTGTGTGTGTGTGTGAGAATGTATGTGGTCTATATGTATATGGGTATGCAAGTCTACATGTATGTGGGTGAAAGTGTGTGCGAAGGTGTGTATGCATGTATGAACATGCATGTGAAGACCAAAAGTTGGTACTGGGTATCTTGCTCAATTTTCTACACCTCATACACTGAGGCAGGTTCTCTCACTAGAACCCAAAGTTCATCAATCCTGTTAGTCAACTAACAGAATGTTTGGCAATTCCATCTCCTGAGTGATGGGATTACACATAGGCTGTGAAGCTATCCTGGAATTTACCTGTGATCTGGCAATCTGAACTCTGGCCTTCACAGTTGCATGGCGGGCATGTCTTTTCCAAACTAAGCCATCTTGTTGGCTGTTTGTTTTGTTTTGACAGAAAGCTACCTTTAGCTCAGGCTGGTCTCGAACTTGCTATGCAGTGAAGGATGACCCTAAACTCCTGATCCTCCTGTCTCCACTTTCCTAGAATACTATAGGCACGCACCCCTGCACTCTCCTTGTGCAGAAGTGGACTTTAGTTTTAGATTTAGTTTTAAGATAACGCAAGGGACAAGATCTCCTGAATAAATTGGGAGCACAGGGACTATGAGACAGGGTAGACGGGGGGGGGGGGGGGGGGGGGAATGGGAGGGGAGCGGAGAAAAATATATAGCTCAATAAAAACGATAAAAAAGAAAGACCAAAAACAAAAAACAAACAAAAAAAATAACCCAAGGGAATTCTAGTATGTTCTGGGAGCACACATGTTTTCCTGTTTATTCAAGTCTTTTGTGTCTGAAGGATTTTATTTTGGTTAACTCTATTAACTGCAGAGTTCTTAAGGTTAGAGCACATTAATTATTTCTTTTTTAAAATATTTATTTATTATGTATACAATATTCTGTCTGTGTGTATGCCTGCAGGCCAGAAGAGGGCACCAGACCTCATTACAGATGGTTGTGAGCCACCATGTGGTTCCTGGGAATTGAACTCAGGACTTTTGGAAGAGCAGGCAATGCTCTTAACCTCTGAGCCATCTCTCCAGCCCTTAATTATTTCTTTTTGGTCCTCCTATCAGGTGTAGTGCTTAGACACCAAAGGTGCTTAAACTACTAGTTAATGAATGAAGGGCGATATTTGGGGTTCTTGCCTTACCTCTCTCAAAAACAACCCACCTGCTCTGTCCTCAACAGACCTTCTAGTCTCTGTTTTCTTTTTTGTATGTGTACATATGAGAGTGTGTAGTGTGCGTGTGTGTGCGTGTGTGTGTGTGTGGTATAGGTATGTGCCCCTGTGTACAGAGGTTAGAGGTGGGACACCCTGTTCCTGCTTTCATTCCTATGAGACAGGATTTTCAACTGAATCTGGAGCAAGGCCAGTTAGCAGCAAATTCCAGGAATCACCTGCCTCTCCCCATCCCCAGCCCCAGCATTAGGGTTACAAGGTCACGTAGCCACACCTGGCTTTTTGCTCGGAGTGTGGGGTTTGAATTTGGGTTCTCACGCTTGCATACACTCTTACCCGCTGAACTATTTCCCCAGGCCTGCTGTATTTGAAGACCTAGGTGGACATGGAGAGTGAACGTAAGGATAAAAATTGTCCTTGTGTAAGGCTGGGGATATCACTGGCTAGGCACTTGTCTAGTATGACAAGACTATTGCTTCAGTTCCTAGTGCGGGGTGCAAAAAAAAAAAAAAAAAAAACTGGTCAGGAAAATTCCCGATTAAAGTATGCAGAATAGTTCTGAGTGAAAATAACATAACTGGCACCTTAAATCAGATTTGAAGAATTCCTTCTCACGAGTGTGGTGGTCTGAAAGAGAATGGCCCCCATAGGCTTCCATGTTCGAATGTTTGGTTCCCAGTGAGCAGAACTATTTGGAGATGATTAGGAGGTGTGGACTTGTAGGACAAGGTGTGTCACTGGAGTGGGCTTTGAGGTTTCAAACACCAAGTCATGCCCAGTGTGTCTTCCTTGGCCTGCAGCTTGAGGATCTGATGTGAGCTCTCAGCTCCTTTGCCAGCACTGTGCTCCCTGCCGTGCTCCCTGCCGTGATGATCAATGATTAACCCCCTAAAACTTAAGCAAGACCCAATAAAATGTTTCCCTCTATAAGTTGCCTTGGTCACGGTGCCTGTTCACGTCAATAAAACAGTAACTAAGACACTTAGCATCCTCCAGCTTTATGTTTATGTCACGAGTGCTGACATTAGTTCGGTGGTGAGGAGAGGCCAGTGCAGCAGAGGCCAGTCACCCACCGTCTGTGAGGTGAGAGACCTTGATGACACTTTCAGGCACTGGCCACCAGCACAGCCTTGCAGAAATCCATGCAGGATGTACATAGGAGTGACCTAAAGAAGACAATCTAATCAGAGGCGTGTGTGTGCATGTGTGTGTGCATGTGTGTGTGTGTGCATGTGTGTGTGTGCATGTGTGTGTGTGCATGTGTGTGGGCACGTGTGGAGGCCAGAGGTTAACCTCGGGTGTTTTCCCACAGGAGCCATCCTCCTTGTACTTTGGAATAGGCTTGAATCTCAGCAGGTAGGCTGGCCGGCCAATGAGAAGCGGGTCTCCATCTGTCTCTGCCTCCTCGGCCCTGCAATCATTAGTGCCACCACACCCAGCTCTCCAGGAGGTGCTAGGGAGTGAAACTGCATCCTCATTCTTTACACAGAAAGCACTTTACCTGCTCCCCAGCTCCTCGTCTGAATTTGGGCCTCTGACGTTATGAAAGGTTTATGGTATAATTTATGGCTTTTCAACCACGTTTTAGCTTGTATGACTAAGTAAAGCTTGCTGGTTTATTATATAAAAAAAAAACAAACTTAGCTCTGCAAAAACATATGCTCGCCATATATAATTGAACTTAATGGCTATCTAAAGCCTTCCTTCTGCCTTGGTCTGAAAACATAATCCCAATTTGGGAGCAGAACTGACAATTTAGTTGATTTTTTTTTTCACTTCTCAGAGTTGCTGTAGAGGGAGAAGGGCTCAAGTCCTATTAAGGAAGAGCTGTTCAGAGCGCCTGTAATTTCATGCATTTCAGATGCAAGTAGGAAAGGCTGGGGCATATACTTCAGTGGAAGAGCACTGGCCTATCTTGTGCAAACCTCTAGATTGAATCCTCAGCTAAACAGACAAAGAAGGAAACAATTACATATAAGCTGAACTCTCTTCTAACCGGCAGCAGGATTTGGGATCCACTCTGTCTCCCTGGACCCTTCACTGTGGTCAACTCAGATGTCTGTCTTGAAGGCCCTATGGGACTGTTACATATAATCTACTGATCAGAACTGCTGACCCGAGAGATAATGGGGTGGCTCTGAGGGTAAAGATGCCCCTGCCAAGCCTGACAACCTCAGTTCCACGTGGTGGAATGAGAAAACTGACTCCTGCAAGTGGTCCTCTCCCTTCAGACACTGTGGTAATTCATGTCCTCCTCCCCATAATACAATAAACAAATTAAAATGTAATTTTTAAAAAAAAATGTATTATTCCCATGGTGGTATATGTCTTTTTCTGTCCTGTCAGCCAGCTCCCAAATAATGACATGGAGCTTACTATCAGTTATGTAAGCCTAGCCTTAGCTTAGGCTTGTCCCACTAGCTCTTATAACTTAAATTAACCCATTTATGTTCATCTACATTTTGCCTCATGTCTTTTTACATTATCTCTGTACTGCCCATCCTGCTTTCTCAGTGCATCTAGCTTCCCCTGAACGCTTGGATTCCTCCTCCTCTTTCTCTCTTCACCCGCCTATACCACCTGTCTAGCTAATGGCCGTTTAGCTCGTTATTAAACCAATTGCAGCAATATACCTTCACATAGTGTACAGATATCCCACAACAGATGCGTGTAGCCACAGCTTACTTGGCAAACTACAGCAGAAGGAATAGTAAGGTTGAGGCTAGCCTGGGCAGAAACTGAGCAAGTTCTTACTTCAAAATAAAAAAGTTTTAAAGGGTTGGGGGTGATCTCAGTAGAATGATGCTTACCTAACATAATCAAGATCCTGGCTTGATCCCAGTATTTCAACCAACCAATCAAAATCATTCCCTACAAGACACATCACAAACTCACCATGGTGGAGTCCCCCCAAATCTGCCAGAGAAGGACTACAGTGTTCAGCTACTCCAGAGAGACCTCAAGACCAAACTGAGGACATTTTGACAAGAAGGCTCTGTTTTGGCCTTGTGTGTCTCTTTCTTCACAAGACTCTTCATGTGTTGTGGCCTTGTTTCTTGCCTTCTCCTGACTCCTGTGAGAGTGTGAAGACCCGGTTGCTTTCTCCTTCCCCTCATGGCCCACCTCACCACCTGTTCTATCACCTGGCGTCCTTGGACCACACAGGCAAAGTGAGATGACTGTAGGATACCCATCAGAGGGGACTTCTGGGAGTCTTCATTAGCCAGCTGGCAACTCTCCTGGGCTGGGATCCTAATGTAGCCCTGAGCCTTTCTCAGGGTGAACTTTTAAGCACAAAAAAACCCACATCCTGGGTTGACATCCTTCAGTTAACAAGAACAGTTAGCCAGAAGCAGAACTACAGAAGCCAAAAAACAAGGTCAGTACATTCAGGGACTTCCCTAGAATT